GAACAAATGCCTTCGCCACTCAAATCCGGATGTATACCGACTCGGTAATGGTTTCGGAGCCTCAATGGAAGCTGTAGATCTCTTCATCTTGTAGACAAGAAGACTATGGGGTCTTCATTTCATCAAAGGCAATGGCATCATTTGAAACGGCAGAACGTAGGGATATTCGGTGGCGGAATTTTTTATTTGGCAAAATGATGTGAAACATGGAGCTGTTACTTCGAAACTTCAAATTGCAAAAGCTACTTGTGTTCCAATTCCTTTCTGTTCATTCCGTACCTTCTACATCGCTTCGCAATTATCTTCACATCTTCCTCTGAAACTTAAACTGTCATCCAATGTCCAATATACCTACACTACTTGCAAATTCTGGTCAGTAGCACACGCTACACTGGTAAACACAAACTAATATAACAAGACCCACTGCCGACTAGTTGTCTACAGCAACTACGGGTGTAAAATGGTATTATTCCCATCACTTGTGTTTCCCGGTGGTAGTAATTTATCTGCTTTGCCAGTGTGCTCAAATCTTTGTCGTGCAATAGGCTTATTTTTGGCTCGCCTCATCTTTCCTCTTGCTGAAGAATCATCATTTTCATGTAACTGATCCCTTTCTTTTACTTGCAGATGCTTGGAGAGAAATGAGAAAAGTATTGGCGGAAATTAAACCGTCTACATGTAGGTTCTTCAGCTAACTGAGGTGACATGCGCACTAACTTCTGCAGGCGCACTGGAAGTTTATTTGGTTAATGTTAATTTAATCCACTTTACTTTAGCCTTAGGTTGAGTTTGGTGCCGTGGCGGGTGCACAATAAGCTTAAGACGAGAGACATCTGAACCAAAATTACTTAAGTCTCAAGAAATACAGGTACAATACAGCCAACTGAACCAATAATAAGTGAGAAAGTTAGACGCAACGGCCAAAATTCACTATCCAGCAAAGCATTTGCCATCATTCCCTACATACTTTATCTTTTTGACTGAATTGTACTAGTAGAGGAACTCATACTGGCTAATAGGGTATGTAGTGTCTTAAGGCTATCTTGAAGGTCGCATAATGAAACGGAATCGATGAACGCGAATGGTGTCCCTGTCCTAGTTCGGAACAAACATTATCAACAAGACAAATTATTCAATTCAGTACCCTTCGTGATGCACAGTAGAGCTCGACGGAGTGAATCCTCTGAACTGAGATCCACCGATGATCTAGAACCGTCCCGAGGCGAACGCCAAGAAGTCAAAAGTATTTCGCAGACTTGTCAAAAAGCGATTGGACATTGAATGAGCGCCACTTTCTACAAGGCCGCTATCACGAGGACTATTAATTATAATGACGATCTTCAGCTGACTACCTTGGTAAGAATATTTGAAGCGTGATAATTTAAGCTATGTTATTTGGGGGCATTGAGTCTGGCAATGTCGCCGTTTTCAAGGTGAAATCTAGGCACCTCTTTCCGATAATTATATTACTAAATTATAATGTAGCATGTATACATGCAGTATTTATATATAAATAGTGCTTTTTCA